AACACTACGTCTTTTGCTTCGCGAAAAATGGGATATATATTTTTAAATCTAATTTTAAACACGAGCGGAAATCGAAACCGAAACTTCGGCTTCGTCCAGCAACATTGGCCTCGGGCCGCCAAGTACATGGCCATCACGTGGTACGACAGGTCACGTGATCCTCGGCCCAAAGACGGGCGGGATGGGGGCGGGCGGGCGTGCGGCAGGCGCGAGTGTCGTCTGCACCGCACTCTTCACCACGTTTTGGTGTCTACGGCATTCGACGACGTCTGCACAACTGCGGCATAAGTCTGGGACTCTGCGCACATGGTGTCCATAGTGTGGACGAAACTCCGAGAGGAAATAATCACAAACGGTGAGACGACGACGGTGTTTGTGACGCGGAAGACGGCGGTAACGGCGGGACCACGGCGGGCGGTTGGTCTGCTCCCAAGAAGCGCGCTGCGCAGGCGCGTACGTCAATCACGTGGACACCGCTGAGCGCCGAGAGGCAACGTTGCTGACGTCACGCGCTACGCTCGATCGGAGAAGTAAAAACAAGCAAAAGGGGGCCACGTAGATGGCGTTTAGCTCAATGTTGGCTCCGCCCATGCCGTAGCCTTGACTGTGCTGTTGGTTGCGCCTGAATTCGCCCGCTCGAGTCAGCCGATTTCGGCAACTTGGCGAGTTGCAAAGTTTGCCGGACCGTTTAAGAAACATTTAGACAGAACTGCGCCGTAATATTTGACGTGTGGTCTTCCGAGGCGATACTGAAGAGGACTGCATTGTTTTTTCAAAACCAAAAATGAAGTGGAGTTGCCCTTTAATCATCTCGCTTCACTTGTCACTCATTCTTGTTGAACACAAGAATGAGTGACAAGAATGGGACGAACAGCCCAAGAGACGGTCGCAAAGGGTGAGAATATTTTATTTCTTCATGGCTGCCACGACCATCCGAGGACCACCCGACGTTCACTTGTAAGAAATGGCTTATAAGTCGTGACAATTTTTATCACGCGTTTTAACATTGAACTTAAGTCCAAAAACTGAGACGACGTGGGCTGAACAAGTAATGCTTTATAAGAATCAAAGAAAACAAGCTACTATTTCACATTATTTTGAGCAGAAAACATGAACACACGTAGATCAGGCAAGGAAAAAGTTGTAATAGCTTACAGCACGGCATTGAAATACATGATTACAATGTGGGTTGCATACATGGTTACAATGTGCAGCGCATACATGGCCCTGAAGGTATACTTGGCATACCACATCAGGTAAGTTGTCGAAACAAATGAACACCGCCCTTTCGATGCTGCTCTTGTTTGACTTCGGCTCAAGAGCAGTCTCCAAATAAGCCACACCGTCGAAGTTGCTAAACTTAATGTGAACAGCCCAGTAAGGAATTGGCACATTTAGAGAGCCTAGTGCGTCGCGATCGATGCCTTGTGGGATCACGGCAGGAGCTTCGCTGTTCACCACTGGTGACAACGGGTCAGTTTCCCAAACGAGCCCCGAACGCTTTGCAACGATGGGCTCTGGTGAACTTGCCTTCCGGTTCCTTTCCTCTCGTCCTCCGGAGAGGTCATCACTCAGGTCCTGGGGTACACTTGGCAGCAGAGTGGGTACGGCGTCTGGCGTAAGCGCTGGGTGTCCACGAGGGATCCCCACTTCCTTTCCGCCGATGATATGGACGAAGTCTGGAAGGATGAAGCGGGCTCGAAGTGCAGCTCGCATGCAGACAGCGCTTGTTTTTTCAAGACGCTTGTCCGATCGCTGGAGATTCTCCTCACAAAGATCTCTTTTGGCTCTGTCCTTTGGAACGCCGAAAAGGGACGCCGTTTTCACTCCTTTCACTCGGATGAGGCCCGTTTTGAAACCATGGTGCAGAGCAAGAGTTCTGTCGCTGTTTCGCCGACGGCATTTCGGCACTACCCTCACGCGTTCACCACCCGCAAAATCAGAACACAAGATTCAAAGCATATTACGATCGAACACACGGAACTAGGAAATCGTGGTCCCGACACGCGCACCGCTCGAAGTGAAAAACACGCGGAACTATACAGTTTCACCTTGTGTCGTACCGCAGGAAAGCCTACAAGCGCGAGCTCCTTGCTCTAGGGCACATTTCGGCGGCACAAGCTCTCGTGCATCAAGGGCAGCTGCCAACGCTATGAACTCGTGCTTCTAGCCTTCGCTGCGGTACAACATAAGGTGAAACGGAGTGTATAAAATCGTGGTACCGACACGTGCACTGCTGAAAGTGAAAAGAAAAAAAAAAGAGGCGGGCTGCGCGATTTTTTTTTGGATAACTCCACTACAGCGCCGCCACGAACTGTCGCCGAGCCGCTCCGGTCCTTACACTACCCAAGTATTTTAGAATACACTGTATAGTCAGGCAAATGTCCCTCAAAGGGGATCGGATATCCCTCCGCCACCTCCGCATCCAATAGCGTTCCACCGTTTCCGTGACGTTGCGGCCAACGCGCGAGGAGGGTCTTGCCTTTCTGTACATATTTGCTTTATCTTTCGACTTTGACTTAGCATTGTGGAAGCCACGAGAGGGAGATTAGAGTTCCCCCCACCGACGGAAACAAATACGACTTTCGGGGATTAGCTTCCCCCCCGATGGATACAAAGGCTGCTTTCAGGGGCTCGGTTCCCTCTCCGATAAATACAAAGGTCGCTTTCTTAAAAAGTGGGATCGGAGACAAGTGGGAATCCATTGAAGCGGAACAAGGAGCGTTTCCAGTGAACTCTTCTTTCGACTGCGGAGAGATTTGAAACGGGCGCATCACACTTGTGGGAGGAGCTTCTCCTACCTTCTTGACTTGTAGATTCCTTCGGAGCAGCGCCACTCTTTGGCATTTCAACATTTTCCTTCTCAGCTTTCCTCCTCAACTCACAAATCGCGCATTGTACCAAACGGTCCAAGAAGACAGAAAGGAAGGACTCCCCTCCTTCTCGGACTCTCGTTCGTGCAACCGGACACAGCCATTCTCCCCTTAGAAGATTATCTCGTCGCTCCAAATTTGAACAAAAGTTGCTTTCCCCACGCCGTTCAGCCCTAGGCTGACAGTGTTGTGGAAGCTACGTGCTCCTTGGGCTAGGGTGCCTTCATGCGCGAGCACATGAAGGCTCCCTCTTGGGCCAGCCAAACGCTCGTCACCCCACGGGTAGTTCGAGCTGCTCGGTTCTAACGCGTTGACCAAAACGCTGCCAACGCCACCAACGGCAAAGCTCATAACCACGCCAGCCTTGCTACGTCACGAATGCGGGGAATCTTTTCTTTCTGTTTTTGTTTGCGCCGGATATCCCATGACGCAACGCGCTCTCCGTTCGCTTCTCTTCGAGCGCTTGCTCGAGTGCACCATATGGAACGAAAAATATAGCCAGTCGTTCAAAAGACAAACGTGCGATTATCATTTACGGTTATTATCTGTCATGCTTGACTCATTTCCGAACGAAATTTGAATATTTCAATTTTTGTTTCCGTACCCCTTTAAAGACCCCATGCTCATCCAGATCGAAACGGGCAGGGGTGGGGATCGGACCCAGGATCCCTGGATTCCTGGGTTCTGCAGCGCGACCTTTCGGTCCACATGCTCAGAGTGCAATATTTGAGAAGGTGAAAACACTGTGAAGACGAATCACGCACGACGACGACGATGTGTATCAAGGAGGTCGAAGTGCAAGCCAACAGATATTTCCAAGATTTCTGACAGCAGAGTGGGTTCAGTCCACATCTGTGTGATAGCCTGGTGTTTCACGAAAGGTGGACAAATTCGATATTGCAAACTACGCATCCCACCAGATAAAAAGAAGAAAACAAAGGCTTGGGTTGTTTTGGTCTTAGGCCAAGGGCCTATTAAGGAAAATTATTAAAGTTTGGCATAATTAAGTTAATTATTTTCACATAATTAATCTTTTTTTTTTAAATATTGAGTTTAAGGACATGGTTTGGAAACTTGCTGATCATCATCGAGAAACACTAAATAAGAAAACTGGAGTGTGACAGAAGGCACGCGCTGTATTTTACAGCTTTCTGAAAAACTGCAATCGGAGCGCTTCTCGGCACCGACGGCACCGCGCCCCGTGGAGAAATAGTGGAACCTGCGCCCCTACTGCGTTGAGCGAGGACAGCGAAGCGGATGTTGGTTTTCCCTTTGCAGGGTGCGAGCTCAAAAAGATTTCCTTCCCTAGCTATAAATGAATAGGTAAAAAAATCATAACATAAAGTAACTGTCTCGTTTTCTGCCACCACGGGTGCTAAGCAAGACGGCGAGACCAGAGCGGGAAGAATGAACCGGGACATCGCCGCCTGCTGCGATTGGTCAGCGGCATGGAGTCGACCAATCGCAGAAGGTCGCGATGTCTCGGTCTTTTTTTCCCGCCGTCTTGCATTCCACCCCAGTGTGTTCAAGCCTCACCTTCGTCCTCTGGACAGCCCCTTACATGCTGCGCCATCTCGCGGCGCTTGTCAGAAATGCGAGCGAACCTTCGCAACACTTGCTCCGTGGCGAGGCAATGCCGTTCAGTAACCTCTCTTCTGCCACCGTGGACTGGGATGCAGTGTATACGTGCACGACAGACAGTGGGATCATTCGATTAACCAGCACCAGCCTGCACCGATGCAGAGAAGTGAAGAGCAATGTACTCCCGGTTTTTTTTTTAGATAGGCTGCACTCGTAAATCAAATACGGCGTTCTGAACCGAGTGCAGCAGGCGCAGGTCTTGCAGGTAGATCGAATATAGCAAGTCTTCGCAGCGGTGTCAATGCGCAAAGCTTACGTTCCGCCGCGCAAAGTTTATCGATTGTTTTCCTCGCTCTAAGATATTCGAACTAAATTCCAAGTATAGAACAAACAGACAAATAAGCAAACAAACATACAAACACATTCGCCCCGCTTGTCTTTAAAGATGCACAAAACAAATCAAACAACCACCTTTTTTTTTGTGTGTGTGCGTTGAGTTCGACAGTGGATTGATGGCACTCCACTGTCGGTACATGGCACATTGATGATTCAGTGGTGACGACGTGCCCGGAATCACGCACTGTCAGATAGGGATTATCGCGGATGTGTCCACCTGTGTCGTTGCGCGGGTTACCGACGCCCTCCCTTGGGGCACTTCAGACACCGTCGGATAGACGTATTGGTATATAGCTGAGGCCGTCGGCACCTGCGCTCCTCCTCGTCACATCTGCGACGCGGACACGACGCGAGTCACTGACGTCGTAGCCCCCTGGGGCGTCTGCGTTACTGTGGGGTACTCAGCATACTGGACAGTTGTCGTGGCTGGAATTTGAGTGTTCACTTGACACGGCTGCGACGTGGAACCGACGCGACGGAAGGACACCGTCCTTTGGGACACCGGCGCTGCCGTGGGGTACGCGTACTGGTACTGCGGGTAGGCTGGAGCGGTGGCGACGGTGCTGCTGTACAGCTGCGACAGCGACGTGACGCGGCGTACCGACGTGGTCCCCTGGGTCACGGGTGCCGTCGTCTGGTAGGCGTACTGGTACGCCGGAGCCTGCGCAAGGGCAGCACTGGTCGGCATGGCATACTGGTTCGCAGGGGCTTGTGCAATAGCCGCGCCGGTTGGCATGGCGTACACGGGAGAACTGGGCATGGCGAACATGGGCTGTGCCTGAGGCATCAGGCCGTAGCCAGAGGGGGCCGACGACCCGTAGAAGTTAATGGTGGTGTGGGCCGTGGCGGCCTGCTGATTTTCTGCCAGAGTTCCACCCGACGCGACGGACGAGCGCTGTTTAAACGGTAACAATGGAGCTGGTGGGGGTGGCGGGGGTGGCGGGTAGACAACCTGCGTATGCGCCGGCGAATTAGACACCGTCTTGTAACCTCCCAAGCGACGAGACATCGTCCATATCACGGAACTACATAAATATGCTTCAAACCCGACGCATATACTACTTCGTGCACATCGAGCAATGCGTGACAAGGATACCTTAGGTTTCTTTTATATTTCACCGGGGTTCCACTCACTGAAACCTCGCCAGTCCTCATTTTTTTCCTGTACAATGCACACCCACACCCCCTCCGCTCTTGTCTTACCACGTTTTTTTTTTGTGTTCTATACATCACGTACTAAAGGTATATTGTAGCACCTTTAGTCTAAGTATACTAAAAGTATGTACAACCATTAGTTCACATTATATATAAAATACACGCACACACACACAATAAAAACGTACCTCAGCGTACCACATAGAACTCGTTATAATAGAAATAAAACACGTGTGCACGCAGGGACCAGACGTGTAAATTTAGTTCATACGCACCCACACGCACCTTTAGTCCCGAACATATTTCGTATTAGTATTGAACCACGTACAGAATTCAGTTTAGATTAGTTCATTATACGCGGCGACACGTACAGAATACGTACAAAGTGCATTCAATATTTGTGGACTAAAGCCGAAGTGCAGTCAGTAGGTAGCACCACAATCCTGGTGCTTTATGACGAAATGACACCTAACGGACAAGATATCTTTCTATAAAGGGAGAGGTGCGAACACGTGCTTTATAACTGAGGGCGAAACTCGCTGCTCGGGACTTGGACGTTGTGGCAAAGAAAGGAATTCAGAAGCAAATCTCGGATTTTTCGCAACACAGAAAGATCACCGGCTTCCCCTTGTCCTCAGTGCCGCTTCAGTTTGCAACGAGATTGTGTTCAAGTAATTATTTTAAAAAAAGGATAACTTATTTACATCTTCAACGATCCTTCAGACTTTGGCTAAACTGTTTCCTAAATGTCACCTTGATACTATATAAAACGCCCCACTAATGTACACCCAAGTTCTTGACCGGAAATGTGAAGAAAATCAAGACGCGTGAGCAACTCGGCCCCCGAAGAAAAAGATCACATAGTAAGGAGGCGGTTGTTCCATAGGCGCCTTCTTATCTCTCGGCGATCCCGTTGTGTTACAAAAGAAAATAAGAAACGAGGGTGCTCTTTTAAAATGACTTGCCAGTACCTTTACTAAACATCGAGAAACGCGCGCTCCAAATTGGCCAATATAGTCACAGCAGGCTTATTTATTTTATTTTTCCGTACGTACATTCTAGAGCGTAAATAAATATTGTCGCTGTCAGTGCACCACAAGATTTGGATACCGTTATGGCCTAAGAAGTCAACTAAAAGATGTTTCACACACCACCGTTTTCTTAGGTTCTCTTAAGGTACGTATAAAGGGCGATTGATACACTTGCACCGAGTCCGACCAAGTATAACTGCAACGATTTGCAACGTAAGGGTTGCTATAGCAACAGCCGCGTCGGCTCCAGCAGAACGTGGTAAAAACAGGCTTTGTTGGAGCCGGCGCAGCTGTACGTCGCAAGCCGTTGCAGTTGTACGCAGTCGGACTCGACGCAAGTGTGTGAATCGCATCAGATCGCCGAAACGTTCGTGTCTCAAATGTCGCGTGCCAGGCTATCTCCTTGAACTGGTAGCCACGCTTAATACGAAGCACAGATGTCCTGGTGAATTGTGGCTTACCAGACGTAAGCTTTCGTAACGTAATGTAACGTAAGAAAACGGGGCTGAGTAAACCAGACCATCACGTGATGCGAACCCACTCAATTTATCAAATAAATCAAACAATTGTAGCGTGCGCTAACCATGCATACGCCATGGCTCTCTGCTTTTGGAGGGTATGCCTTCGGATAGAACAACTTGTAACACCAGTTTTGATTGGGCTAGTTGGTTCATAATAGACAAGATTAAAATGGCGCAAACTTGACGGGGACGAGAAGAGGCACGCACGACAGGACTAGCGCTGACTTCCAACTAAGTGTATTGCATCATTCACCAAGCGATATATACTATAGCCTGCGGACATAAAAAACAAAGCGTACATTAAGATTGTACGTCTACCACGCGCCTATCTTCAGATAAAACCACCAAGAAACCATAATTTTTTGCCAATAAGAGACACTGACGGCATGCTGACGCACTTGTCTCCCGTATTTTTTTTTTTTTATTATAAAATAACGCTTTCATAGTTTCCCTCTCTGTCTTTTCCTTTGCTCTCTTCGGGAACTTGGTCCATTTCAAAAACGGTTAACGCCCACATTGTTTAACGTGCTCACCAAGATGACCATCCAAATTGCTTCGTACCGAAAGATCATGCTGACGCGCTCTCTTATTGAAACAGCGACCCGTTTGTCCATTGCAAATGGGGCCACAGCTAAAGTGAATATATCCTAAACAACCCCACTCGTGCACTTAGTGTACATGACGGCATGTCTTTTTGCGCACTGGGCACTTTAATGCCCAGTAAGTATGGGATATATCTTGAAACTTGCAAAGAACCGAGAAATGTAGATTAATGCCATATCTAACAGCTCTTTTTAAATTGTGCGATACCTTGCGAATATAATCCACAACTTGCACTCTTTTTTTTATGATCTGTTCTATAGTACGTTTTTTTTATTTTTTTATTCTGGGATTCTTTAAGTTTCTTTAATATGCTTTCGCAAACACTTGATAGTAGCATGTTAGGGTAACCCGCAGATTTTAACTTCCTAAACTGAAAGGCTGCATTTACCTTGGACAAACGGGTCGGTGTTTCAGTGAGAGAGCGCGCAAGCATAATCTTTCTGTACCAAGCAATTGGGGTGGTCATCTTGCTGAGCACGTTAAACGACGTGGGTGTGAATTGCTTTTGAAATCGACCAAGTTCCGGATGAGAGCAAAGGACAGGCCAAAAAAAAAATGATAAACATAAAAAAAAATAAAGCGGGAGGCAAGTGCGTCAGCATGGTGTCGGTGTGTCTTATCGACAAAGCATTATCGTTTCTTGATATTTTTTTACGTGGGATTTAGATATGCTTTTTAACGCTACTTCCATTCCCGCAATTTCGCCCGTCCACCCGGCCGTGCATTTTCCGCGAAATTTAGCGGGGAAAGTGGCGTCACATGATGTCACCTGACTTCATGTGACCTATACACTTTGGGGGAATTGACAGCACCTGAACCATATGTCCACTTAGTTTTCCGCTAAATTTAGCGGGAAAATTCACGTCTTGTTTCCAAAACATCAATCCAGTTTCTTCGCTAAATTTAGTGGGAAGATACATGTCACGTGACACACCAATTTTCTATATTGAATTTCATGCATTATAAAAAGTCAAAGGTCGCTGGAAATTAGGTTCAAGTGACACGTGAACCGCCTCGGTGGCTCCGAGGCGAGAGCGCCGGCCTACGGATCCCCAGGTAGCGGGTTCGAATCCCGACCGGGGTGCCCGCAATATGACGGAGGCTTATTGCGGAGGAGGCGCCGTGTAACCGAGCTTTCGGTTGCACGTCAAAAGATCCCCAGGCGGTCGAAATTAATCCTCAGTCCTCCGCTGGGGCGTGCCAGATGCCCGTCGTAGGTTTGGCACGTAAAACCCCCAAATTTGATTTTTTCAAGTGACACGTGCTTTTCTAAGTTATTATCGTTATTATTATTAAACGATCAAGTACCGCGTCGGAAATGCGCGCGTCGTGCTCTGTTGTCGGCAAGCTTTTTAGTTTGCTGCCAATGAAACTGGCGATTGAAATCAAAACAACACTGAAAGCCGGCATCAAGCAAAAACCGCGATGCCCGTGACACTCACGATGTGAATGTAAGCGATCTAAGCTGTTATCAACTTTGAACTATGCGGCCTAGGGACCGATATGACAGCTCGTACGCGGCACGGTACGCCGGGCATTTCAGAAAATCTCAGACTTACCTTAGCTATATCTCCGTAAACAGATACTTACATACAGTCCAAATAGAGAACTGTGTCATTCTTAAATGTTTTCCCGACGTACAAGAAAGCTATAGTTGCTAGAAAGCGTGGCTGTGAGATATCGCTAGCAAGCGTGTATTTAGCTATAAGCCGGGGTCAGACTGCTTATCCGTCATACAAATGACAGTTCGCATGCAGGTTCGAAAGCGAGTCACCGCGAATCCTTGCTTCGAATGCCGCATGGAAATGAGTTCAAGGAGGCAACTTGGCACGCGCCATTCGAACCATGGATGTTGCGGCGACTCGTGTTTGCAGAATGTCTTTTTATGATGTGTGAGCAGTGTGACCCCGACCATAGGATGCTAGCAAACGTGTGTGGTTTTTGCACGCCAGAGGATGTAGGCCGCGATCGCGTGTGTGACGGCATTCATTCGGCGTATATACTAAATCGTGAACCGTGCATCGCTAGGAAACTAACATTCCTGCCCCAAGACATCCACAAAGGCTGCAGTTTCCAAGCCAAGGTTTTGAGGACCTTGTATACACCCTAATCCTTCCAAGTTGCTAAGGACCTTGTACACCCTAATTTCTTTTGACAATGTTAAAAGCGGAACGGGAGGAAACGTAAAAAAAAAGTAAGTTGATCACTCTGTCTAGACGTTTCTTAATTAGAACATGAGATTTATGAGCTTAACTTGCCTGGGGTGGCGGAGGTGGCTGGATGATCATCGGTGGCGGCATCATGATGGGCGCCGGAGGTAACAACGGGGGTGTTGCGATGATAACTCGCTGTTGGGGAGGAGGAAGCAGTGTCTCGATCGTAGTGCACGAATGAGCATGTCGGACCGGCGTGACCAGAGGCCAGATTCACGAAGAGCTTCTTAGTTTACGACAACTTAGCTAAGAAGTTCGTAAGTTAAGAACATCGTAAGAAGAGGAGAAATCGGTATTCACGAACGCGTTCTTAAGTGAGAGGAGGAAAGCGACGTTGTCGTACGGAGAAACTAAAACTTACCGGTGCTGTTGCTATGGCGACGGCGTCTTCGGTAGCACGAACAACCAATCGGAGAGCTCGGCATTTGTTCGGAGCCGTTCGGAGCCGTTCGGAGCACGTGGATTTTTCATAACAAACACAGCCGGCCTTTCTGCCACCGCTTGTCTGGGGTTCGTATCCGTGCAGTGATATGTCGACGCTAACGCGATTTAAACTCGCCCGAATGCCGAGGCCGGGATGCGTAACCACCCCCATTGACTGCTACGAACTCGATCGCTACCAAGTCAACACAACTGTCATCGTTGGTAAAAGGCGGCCCGCAGTCGTTTGCAAAGCGACGTAGATGGGAAAGCCGCGGCGTTTTTTGCGGCCTCGGAAATGCAGGAGCGAGCGACGTTAAAAAAGATACGTTTGAACTACGACAGTGTCAGCAAGAGCCACGTAAATGCCTGTTCACACTACGGAGCGGACACGCGCATTTGATCGAAGGGCACGACCCGCAACATGGTATGTACACATTGGCGCTGTTGGACCGCGAATTGATAAGCGCTTCGGGACCGATCCTTTACAATTGCAACTCGATGCTGACGTGACACCAGGCGAAGAAAGGTTGGACCGGCATTGCGACCCACGAACTGTTACAGCGATCGACAGTGAGGTGCAGTCGTGTCAGAATAAAATGGAATACTAATAACAAAGTGTACATACCATGTTGCGAAGGTAATCCATACGGTGTTTATTTGAGCTTGATATCACACAAAACAGAGATAGAATCGAAGAGAGCCCCTTTTCGACGACAGCGTTCGTCACCGTTGCCTCGGAAAACAAGGGGATGGCAAGAGGAAGAGATTGACCTCTTAATCTAGAATTGAGGTCAGCGATCAAACTATAATACGAGAAGGGTTCACAAGGGTCGCGCGGGCATATTCCATTCAGCACGCCAGCCGGTCGTGGGCAGACGGTCTTCGCCAAGGACCGTCAGATCATCGCTGCGCCGAGTCGGAGTGCCTGCTAGGCCTATTTGCCGATCGGTCGGCGTCCGTACTTGTGGCCCTTGAAGTTTTTCCCGGGTGTCTGTGGATCCAGCGTTCTTGTTCGTTCGTCGTGGTCTGTTTCAAGTACTTTTTACTTGTTTCTTGCTGCTTGAAGTCGGGACGCGTGAGAAGCGCACGTAGAAAAATAAACATCCGTTGGTTGCCACGACCAACTGAGCGACGCTGTCGGCCATGCTGATTTGATCGTAAGAAGTGCGTAAGACAGCTTCGGAGCTGTCGTAGGATTTCGTCGTAACCTGCGCAAAACTTACGAAAATTTCGTTTCGTGAATACGGATTTGTTCTTAAGTTTCGTCTTACGCACATTTTTGGCGTAAGATCGTTTCGTGAATCTGGCCTCAGGTGATCGTGAACGTGCTCTGTTGAGTGAAGTGCCGTCAGCGAGCTGATCCTGCGCAACGGGCCATGAAACGAGGCTCCAGAACATATGGCTTGGTGCATGGAAGTTTGAGACGTAAGGCTGACGAAGGGATGATAGTGCATGATCGCTGGTACAGAGGCAAAACGATTGATGCATGACCGAACCACTATGGGAGCCAAAGAGGAACTGAACGGCATAGCAGAATGCACGTGAAGCGATGATATCGAGGTATTATAAGCGCTCGGCATGCCAAAGGGAATTGGCGACGTTCTAGAGTCTGTGCGGACGAAGATGGTTCGAACGACCAGAGAGGAGGACGGTCCTGAAGACTCGGTCGTCTCAGTCGATTCGGACTCCTCTAAAGACGAGATCAATCGCCTTTGTCTACGGGAAGTCCTCTTCCGGCGTTCGTGGGTTCGAAAAAAGTATTTTGAAAACAAAAAGCAGATGATAATTATTAAAATGACGGGAAAGATCGAGATAAGAAGCGTGTCCCAATAGCCTACGAGCTCAATGACAAAGCCCTTGCAAACGACATCCATGACCGAAGTTATAAGCTGAGAGACAATGAAGCACGGACCAATCACGGCGGGTTTAGATGCAGCCGAATTGTTAACATCTTGTGTCACACGTTTGACAAAACGCCTGAAGTATGAGGGCACCATCGGCACGAGCACTCGTTCAATGGAAGTCCTGGTGAGCCTAGGCATGATTCTTCGAGCCCAAAAGTTATGCCATTTGTCGTACATTCTCCTGGCAGTTCTTTGTACATCTCTGCGAGAGCGATTATCAGTGAACGACACGTTTCTGATCGACAGCAAAAGGCGCTGGAAGGGGTCTTCATGGCTGGATAGCGAATCATTGACGATGGGACTCTGCTCACGAAGAGGCAGCTTTTGCAGCACCTCTTGTAGACTCACTTGTGGGACAGCAAGGCTGTGGTAATGAAAGGTGCGACCATGAGATGGCACTGGTCCCAAGTCAAAGATTGAGACCGATTCATTTTGACATTTACTTGCGATCTCGCTGGGAATAATTTTTGACAAAAGCTGGCTTCTGTTGCCTACAGGCCACATTCTGTCGATGGCATCATCCAGAATGGCATAATCTTTTTTCAAGTAAGGCCCGCAAAAGTGGCAATATCCGAGTGTGTTGTATACGGTTAAGTAAATCACGGTAAGGATGGCTAGAATTACAAATGCGGAGAAGACATAAGCCGTGACTATCAACATATGGCCTACGGAATTCGACACCTGACTCCGCTTCTGAGGTTTCACAGATTGGCGATGGACGGCAATGCCCGTCAGCAGACAAATTACGAGCAGTGCCAATGCTACGAAGAGCAACGCCACCAAAACCAAAAGCCAAACGACTGCTTTTTCCGTTAAATATTTGTACACGCCATGATATTCCTCAAACCCTTGTAGCTTCATCTGGAGCATGTCAATGCTGGTGTACGAAGGACTCACGTCCACGTCACTGGCGTCGAGCGTCGACATCGAGTCTGCTAAAATCTCCAGGAGTTTAAACCGATATGGCGCAGTAGTCCGGGCAACAGCCTGGACGACGTTTCTGAAGAGTTCCTCATTGTCTCTGTGAACGCGAGCACATTGGTCGCCGATTTTTCTGAATGTGACGCCCAGGCGATGATGTCCCGCTGCATTTAACACGCGGCCGAGGTAGCGGTGGTCCATCGCACAGTCCCGGGCCATGTGGTGCAAGGGCACCCTGGCGTCCTCCATGACGCTGCTGGCGATAAACTTTTCAAAGGTCCGGTCAAAATCGGGGCCAAGTACCCTGCTGACGTTATGAAAAGGTAACTGTGTTTTGCGACTCTCCGAAATTTGACCCAACGTCAAGTTCACAAAGAGTTTGAGGTTTAAGAAAGTCGTTGTACAAGTCGGGAGCCCATTCCTTCAGTGCAACGTTCATAGCCTCTCTCGTGATGATGAGCCAGACCAAAAACATGACGCACAGAGTAAAGAGAACCGTCAAACTGATGGCATAAAACACGAAAGCCAGCATGTAGTTCTCGGTGACTCGCTGCTGGCGGCGCGCTCCACAGAGACTGGCGAGACGCATGAGAAAGATAACGACAATGACGACTATGAAAACACCCAATGCTACCCATAGATACGTAATAAAGGAGCTGATAGCACTATGATTGGATTTTATGTAGTCTCTAACGGTGTCATAATCGGGACTGAATGAGGTCAACTCCAGAAGGGTGGCGTCGGTGGGGATGTCGGCAAGGCTATCTAAGATGCCTGCACCTACGCCGGATATTAGAGGGCTGGAGCCACCATCGGTCACGGGAAACGTTACAGTGTCGAAAATGAAACTGCCCTGGTTGTGAGCCGATGCAGACGTTGTTGTTTCCGAAGCTGCAGACGTGTTTGCCTGAGCCTCGCAGCTGCAGCCCAGCCCCCGGCAGATGAATACCACCAGGAGCAGGTACCCGCCGCTCGTTGCTGACACCATGGCTGTAGCTTCCGGTCCGGGGAGTTCTTTCCTACGAACCGTGGGAGAGGAACATAATTTCAGGACTACTGGCCCACGGGTCCGATCGTGCGCTCGTTCGATGTTTTTTTCTTCTTCACAGCAAGCGGTCTAGCGTCGCGCGGAGGACACGGGCACATAAAATAATACAGGCGTAAAAAAAAAAAAAGTTGTCTTTGCAAGTATTTTTTTGTTCTTACACAGTTAAAAAGAGCCACCTAAAAGTTGTTGGCGAAAACAAGTATGGTTTATGGAGAGAAATATTAGTGGTCGACTTTACTTCGAAGTAGTAAGGGCAGCGAGCAATTTTCATAAAATCGTGATTCGAAAATTTTTTAAAATTTAATTTATTGTCAAAACTGCTTAGTTCCGTGCGCGGGGGAAAGAATAAAGACTATTCTCAAATTCATAAATTTGCGTAAAATCATATTCGCACAAACTCCTAAACCGGCTTCCTCTTATTTTGATTCCATAAAGATCAGTGAGATTCCTGTGGTCATCATGGACTTTCCGAGCTTTTTCCATGCTACAGCCCTCTGTTTGTACCACTGATCTCTACTATAGGGGGCTGGATGGCGCTTAGCTGCTGTCCGAGCCCGGCGCGAGTGAAGCCACCGGAAGTTCGATGCTTGTCCCGGAAGTCAGGGGGTGCTGGGCTTCCTAGTGCATTCAGTCGATAATTTGGACCATGCTTTTTGGTGTCGTTGATTGGGTTTTAATAATCCCGTTCTGGATTAAATCCCGGGAATGAGGCATTTGAACTTGTGACATATTCACACTTGATCAACTAGAATCTCGAAATTTTTACATAAAATGACTTCCCATGATACTTCTCTGGTCTGCATGCGCTATTACTGTGCAACAAGCAGGCTCTCTTGAGGGAA